GGCAGGGAGTCTGCTTCTCCCTCTGACCCTCCCCCCTCTCATGTGCTCTCTCTCTCATTCTCACTCTCTCAAATAAATAAATAAATCTTTAAAAACAAAAAAACAAATGCTGTCCCTTCCCAAAGAAGTGAGAAGTCGATATCTAGACCTGTCACCTTCATAGGTGATCTGGGAGCTGCTTTACCATATAGCCACCTGACCCTCCACTCCTGCACTGCCTGTTCTGTCTCCCTCTCCTTACTCCATGCTGGATATGAGCCTGCCTTGATTTGTTACTTTATTCTTACTTGGTTTGCTGGCCAGAATGGGTTTTCTCATATGCCTAAATCACTTACCCTGGGGCCTCTGCTTCTTTCCCTTTAGAGAATCCTTCTCAGTGTTATTCCATAGACCAATCCCCACACTGCCAACATTTACTGGATTGACCTCTGAAGATGTCAGTGTGGAGAACAGTGGGTATATGTCAAAGCAGGAGAGGCTGAGCCTTTTTCTGGGGTCCCTCTCATTGTTCCCTGAGCAACAGTGTCAGTGGCCTTTAGGTCGATGAAGAAACATGGGTAGTTCCTTTGTGCTTCACTTGTTTTGTGAGCCTTCTTTGTACATTTGTATCCCAGAGTATTAGTAAATTTGTGCCGTATTTTCCATGTCTCTGGCTTCTCTTCCCCATCCATTTTTAAGTTCCTTTTTCTGTAATATCTTTGGACTTGAGGATCCCCAGTGATTGTAGTTCTGTATTCTATCAGGCCAAGTCATTTTTAAACTTCAAGTCATAAATACACACACACACACACACTCATACATACACAGACACATACATAGAAGGCAAAATGCAGTTTTATGCTATAATAAACACTATTCTTTGGCATCTAGTTCTGTATGCTATGGTGTTCTCTTTCAAGCAGTTGTGCATTATATTGTTTAACTTAGAAGCTTTCTGTTCCTTTCTGTGATCTTTTTCTTTGTTCCCCAGATGATAACTGTGGATTTCCCATTGTTTTTGCAGCATATAGATAAAATAATGAGTACTCATGGAAAGCAAATTATGCAGGCCGTCACCCTTATTCTGGAAGGGGAGCATAACATTGAGGTCAAAGAGCAGGTATGTGTTCCCTTTTTTTTATTATTAATTTTTTTTTTCTGAGAAATATCTTCTGAGTGTGAATACCAAAAAAGATCTTCATTAGGAGTCTCCTGAAATACTCAAATCTGCAAAAGACACAGTGCTGAGATGGAAGGTGCTATAGAGACAAGAAAGATTTGAGGAGAAAGATCCTCCACCACCCCTGAAACTATTCAAGAATTCTTCCTCCCGGAATAGAAGAAAATGTTACCAGAGTCTATAGTTTCACCCTTTGTGACATGCACTGTACACACTCCCTGTCTTCATAGGGAGTGTAACCTTTGATCATCCTAGACTGTGTCCACTCTTGGATTCATCGTTTCCAGCTTTCTGTATCCACCATGCTCTGAACTCAAATTCCTGCAACACCCTGATAAAATAATTCCTTATGCTGGAGTCGTTTTTCATTTTTTTACTCTAATGTAACCCTGTTCTTTATTTCTATCCCATACTTCTACTTTCTGTTGTCTTGCAGTAGGGCAGATTTAGGATAGGCATAAAAATACAGAGGCTGTGTGCTCATCAGGGGACAGTTTTAGAATTACTTTTCTATATTTTCTGGGATTTAGTATAGGATTTTTACATAGTATATGTTTTGTCATAAAAAGAAAGGTCACCTATAAACTTAAATTTCTAATACAAGATCTGAGGCAATGGTAATGTTCAACTTTCTGACATAGATGTTAGCTACATGATGTGTTCACTTTCAAAATTCATTGCGCTGTATACTTATATGTGTGGAGGAAACTTGCCCAAGGTCATCAGTGGGGAGTTGAACCTAGGGTCTAACTGCAGGCCCATGCTCTGCATTTTCTGTGTTCCTGAATTAGAGTAATTCTGCAGGCTTCAGAAGAACAGTCCAAGAAGTAGGAATGGTAGGATATAGGAGCTATAATTGAATTTATGAGCAAAAAAGGCAGTAGATTTGACAAAGTGGTTTTAAGATGGACATTTTAGGTGATTTCTCTTAAAATTCAATAATAAACAACCATGTTTTCTGGTGAACAAAAATTTAACACAGAGAAACTATCATCTCAGGCATCACTAAAACTAGGTTGAACATGATCCATTACAGGCACACAACAATGAAGAAGATGCATTGCTCAAAATAAACTATTCACCTGGGGGCGCCTGGTTTCAATGTCAGGGTAGTGAGTTCAAGCCCTGTGTCAGGCTCCACGCCCAGCTATTTTACTTAAACTATTTTACCTGAAGAGCATAGGAATGAATTTTGTCTATAAAGACAGCTCACCTAGATAGAATTCTGCTAACTTGAAAAGTGAAGCAAGGCAAAAAGGTAAGGCAAGATTTGGATGAGCGCAAAAAAAAAAAAAAAAGGCCAATAACAGTAATGTGTTCCGACAGGATTCAAATTACACGCTTTCGTACAGATTTTGGTGATGGTCCAGAAGTAGGTGATGATGGGGAGGCTTACACTGTCTGGTTGTTAGCTGGAAGTTTAGTTCTTCTCAGACACTTCTGATAATTCAGCGTTTTTTTTCTTGAGGTATGTTGACATACAGTAAGCTACATATATTTAAAATATATACTGTGGGGCGCCTGGGTGGCTCAGTCGTTAAGCATCTGCCTTCAGCTCAGGTCATGATCCCAGAGTCCCGGGATTGAGTCCCACATCGGGCTCCCTGCTCGGCGGGAAGCCTGCTTCTCCCTCTCCCACTCCCCCTGCTTGTGTTCCTGCTCTCGCTGTCTCTC